AGTGCCAATGAAATGATCTGTTCAGCTTTTCTGAACCACCTTTGAATGACAGCATGATATTTTGGGGGTGTTAGTGAAAAGGTGCATTTGATGGGGAACTGTGATAGCAACTATTACAAATCTTAGAAAGCTCTTGATCACAGGAAGTATAGCTTACTGACAATCAAAGATTAAAAAAGTACTGGAGAAATGAAAGTAACTTGAGAAGCCATAGTTCTTGAAGGGCTGTGGCAAAATGAAGCCACAACATGAATTGATGGATACAGTGTTCTACAGCTGGTGCTGTTTCCATAGGTAGTTTGGGAAATTGCAGCATTAAGAACCAAGCTCCTAGATTCCAGCCTCCAGCAAATATCTAATCAAGAGCCTTTACCTGCTACCACACTGTTTGATGAGAAAGTTTCTAGGTGAGGAGAGAGTGAACACTACTGTTCAACACAAGCTTCAGAGACTTATGTGCTGTCAGAGACGGCAATGGCCCGTAGCCACCAGTATATTCCTTGATGCTGGGTTTTGTCGTACAAAGCATGCAAAAATCACAGAATGAAAGATACAATTCAAATGAGGAACATTAATCACAACTCAATTGTCATAATCAACTACACCTCACCAACACATTCATTATAATACCCCGTCCACTCCAATAAACTTAATAACAATGTACCCAGGTGGGATGTTTGCCTTACACTTGAATGCATCTTGCTGAATGTTCATATAACATTCCTTTTGATTATTATTCATTTGCTGCTGTGTGATGAGTGATAGCATGGGGTAGAGCAAATGAGCTATGCAGTCAGAGAAAGAATATAGGTAGCCTTGAAAATGATGATTTTTTATGGTCAGAAATTCTCCTGACTGAGGACATTGTCAAGCTGAGGGAATGAAATCTATTAACAGATCAGTGAATAATATTCAAAGACTGTATTATTCTTTGATAACATGAATCTTTTGTGTTTTGTAAGGGGAGAGAAGGAAATTGACTCTATCTAGAGTTTAAATTGGAGAACATTTTAGGAGAATAATTTTGCCTTTTTAAGTATCTTTCGTTCCTTTCACTTTCTTGGATGGGCCTTTGCCATAGTTCTTCAAAGGCCATGGTAAAATGAACCACAATATGAATTGATGCATACAATGTTCTACAGCTGGTGCTGTTTTTATAGATAGTTTGGGCAATTGCAACATTGAGAACCAAACTCCTAGACTCCAAGATAATCTTGAAGGCCAAGGACAACCCCAGACTCCTCTTTTTCATTACCAACCAGTTCCTCCATTTATCCTCTCACGCCTCGCTCATCCCCTGCTCCAACTCCAACGGCAAGGAGATACTGGATTTCCTCAAGACCAAAATCGAGGGGATCCATTCAGCTGCCTCCGCCCTCCCAACCGACACCCCCATCCCATCTTCCCCTCACATTCCACCCCCTACCCATCCCTCCCTCCACACCTTCGAACCTGTCCCCTCTTCTTTCACCACCACTATACCCCACATGAAGCCCACCACTTGCTCCCTCGACCCCGTCCTTACCACTCTCCTTACCTCCCAGCTCCACTTCCTTGCCCCTTTACTCTCATTTCTCATCAACCTCTCCCTGTCAATTGGCACTGTTCCAAACCCCCCTCAAAACAGCTGTCATCACATCTATCCTAAAAAAAAACTTCCCTGGAACCATCCCTTCTCACAAACTACTGCCCCATCTCCAACCTCCCTTTCCAAGGTCCTTGAAAGAGTTGTTACTTCCCAGCTTCATTCTTTCCTCTCCTGCCACTTCCTTTACGAAACCCTCCAATCAGGTTTCCGTGCTGCCCACAGGACGGAAACAGACCTGGTGAAGGTGACAAATGACATTCTGTCCATCTGTGACTAGTGGTCCCTCTGCCTCCTCGACCTCTCTGCAGCCTTCAGACACTGTGGACCACTTTATCTTCCTCAACCTCCTCTCCTCTCACCTCATCCTTCAAGATTCTGTCCTTGAATGGTTCAGATCCCATCTCTCACACCTGCTCCACTTGTCTCCACAAACGTCTTCTCTTCTAGCTTCCACACAGTCTTGTGCAGTGTTCCTCAGGGCTCTGTCCTCGGTCCCCTCCTCTTCACCCTCTATAGGCTCCCCCTTGGTGACATCATCTGCAGATATGGGGTAAATGTCCACATATATGTGGATGACACCCAACTCTATCTCTCTGCCTCCACCCTCAACTCCAGGACTAGTGGCGTCCTGACCGACTGCATGTCCGACATCAAATCCTGGACGAGGGACAACTTTCTCCAACTTAACATCAGCAAGACCAAGGCCCTCCTGATTGGCTGGTGCCAGCGCCTCCACACCTCAGACGCTGGCAGCATCAGCCTCCACGGCTGCACACTCAACCTCACTAAGCCAGTCAGGAACCTGGGTATCTTGTTTGACCTTGAACTGTCCTTTCTCCCCCACATCCGCACCATGACTGGCACTGCCTACCACCACCACGGCAACATTGCCAGACTCCGCCACTGCCTCACCCCTCAGGCTGCCGAAACCCTCACCCACTCATTCGTTACATCAAGGCGCGATTATGGAAACTCCCTCCTCATCGGCTTTCCCAACGCTTCCCTTCACAAGCTACAGATCATCCAAAACTCTGCAGCTCATGTACTCTCATGCACCAGCTCCGCGACCCCATCACTCCCACCCTCGCCCGACTCCACCGGCTCCCCATCCCTCAGAGGATCGAATTCAAAATCCTCATCCTCACTTTCAAGGCCACCCATGGCCTTGCCCTCTCCTACCTCTCTGACCTGCTAACTCCTTACCAACTTGCCCGCTCCCTTTGTTCAGCGGGCTCCGGCCTGCTCCACGTCTCCTGCCTGACCTGCCCTACCATCGGTGGCCGGGCTTTCAGCCTCTCTGCCCCCACACTCTGGAACTCCATCCCTTCGCCTCGCTTCTTCCCTTGCCTCCTTCAAGGCCGGTCTCAAGACCCTCCTCTTCGACCTTTGGTCACCTTCCTCCCCCTCCCCCAGCTCAGTACCAGGATCCGTTACTGTAAAGAGCTCTGAGACGTCCGGTGTGGTGGGCACTATATAAATCCAAGTTGTTGTTGTTGTTCCCACATGGCATACATTGTGCATGCAACTGGTCTCAGCTGCCCTGCCATATTCCCAGAAGTTTTATATTATTTTAATATAATTATTATATATTTTACAATTATGCACCTCTTTCTTCCTCTGCACCAAATTCCCACTCTCACCAAATTCCTTAACAGAATTAAGCTCTGTTCCACCTCACTCAGTTCCCTCCTCACGCTGCTATTCTCCCTGCTCAAGTCCTGCTGGGCTCTCTGCTCATGTCATTTTGAGCACCTTATCAAATGCCAAGTGTATTAAGAAACAAGTCAAAGCAAAGGATAGTCACCCACATAATAAATGCTCAGAAGAGAATTGATTCAACATAAAAAAGAGGCAATTGATTCAACATAAAAAAATTGACAGTATCTTCAAAGCTCTTGAAGGCTTGAGACCTGGCTTCAAACAACGGATAGTTATTAAAAAAAAGCTTTGAAGAAACAATCATTTAGATTTGAATTTACAGAAAGGTTGTGCTGAAGGCAGGAAGCCTTTAAAGGATATTGTGTTAAAGAAACATTTTAGAAAATGATAGTCGAATGTGAATGTCAAGATGGTTTGAGTTTTTTCTCTCTGGTTTTACCAGTGTACTCTAAAAGGCAGGACAAAGGTTAATTGAGATTAATGGAGGTCTGCTGGCTGACTGGTGATAATTCTTAAATGTGGTGCATATGGGAGAGACGACCTTTCTCCTCACAGAAATAAAAAATAAATTGAATTGGCATCAAGTCAAGGAAACTCATAGTCTAACCCAGGGTCTTGGGAAATGAGACAAGATTGAGAATTAACTTAGAAGGGGGAGAATGCAAGGATTCACTGCTGAACCCTGGGGCAAAGCATTAAATAAAATGTTCCATCCAGCCTTTGAATCTCGTGCCTGATATGCGGCCCGGGGGCCGGCACCGGCCCGTCCTGCTTTGCCGACATCCGCACGTTCCTGGTGGCGGAGTGTTTGCTGATGCTGATCCAGGGCATCAGCGGCGCCTACCTGGTGAGTGCTGCTGTCACTGCCCCCCCCCCCCCCACACACACACCCAAGAACACACCCCCCCCCCACACACACCCCCCACACACACACACAGACACCCCCCCCCCCCCACACACAGACCCCCCCCACACACACACACACCCCCCCCCACACACACACACACCACACACACACAGACACCCCCCCCCACACACACACACACACCCCACACACACAGACACACACACACCCCCCCACACACACACACACCCCCACACCCCCACACACACACACACACACACCCCCCCCCCACACACACACACCCCCACACCCCCACACACACACACCCCCCCCACACACACACACACACCCACACACACACACCCCCACACACACAGACACCCCCCCCCCCGCACACACACAGACACCCCACACACACACACACAGACACCCCACACACACCCCCCCACACACACACACACCCACACACACACCCCCACACACACAGACACCCCCCCCCCGCACACACACACACAGACACCCGCACACACACACACAGACACCCCACACACACACAGACACACACAGACACCCCCCACACACACAGACACACACCCCACACACCCCCCCCCACACACACACACACCCACACACACACCCCACACACACCCCCCCACACACACCCATACACCCCCCCCCCCCCCCACACACACACCCCCCCCCCCCCACCTTGTGCAGCATCAGTAGCGAGGAGTGCATGTTAACGACAGGGAATTGAGTTGCGCTGTATTACAATCATTGATTGCTCCCCCCCCCCCCCCCCCTTCCACCTCCTCCTCTCCCCCACCTCCTCCCCCCCCAAAAAAAAACACCCCACGTTGAAACTCCCACTTGTCCGGGTTTTGTGCGCGCTGCACAGTGACTGTTCTGTAAACTGCTTCAGTGTGTACACCGCAGATTAAACACCTCCCCAGTGAGAGCCTGTGGACTGGATCCACAACACCTCTGTTGTACCGGGACTGACTGGTTACCAGAGTCCTACCACTTGTGGTCCAGACTAATAATAATAATAATAATCCTTGCTTTTGACCTTTTTGACCGCGCCTTTGGTCACCTTCCCACCACTCCCACCCCGGCTCGGCCCCGGGACCCTAAACTGTGAAGCGCTCCCGAGACGCCGTCCGGCGCGGAGGGAGTTATATAGATCCAAGTTGTTGTTGTTGTTGTTGTTATATAGTGGCTTATCACGTCGTTGAGACGTCTCAAACCGCTTCAGTAGTGTCCCACAAAGAGTCGTGGGATTGAGTGACCGCATTTTATTTTCAAATGGATGAGATCAGGGTGCACAGAGATCATTCTCAGGGGGTACGTTTGCACTGTGTCAATGAATCTCATCACATCCAGGGGGAATGTCTGTGTGTGGGGATCAAGCCACGTCCCCTGTTAAACCACACGGTTAGCGTCCATTTGACGTGCTTTTCTTTTAAGAGTTCAATCTACACTTAAATGAGTGCTATAATTCCTGCACAGCTGACATGAAATCGGTTTCGAGACCAGCTAACTCAGCTCAAAACATTGGGTCCCAGTCTTGAGACCATCAAGGAGGTGGACTGCCCATTGAATCAATCCAGGCAAATGGGAGCAGTAAAAATCTGATCTGCTTTTACTGGGTAAAATGCTTTGATCCTTGGCCAGTTTACAGATTTGGATGGTGTGAGTTTTCAGAAATACTACATTTTCAATCTTACCAAGAAAAAGAGAACTATCTTTGGGCGCTCCATTGGACCTTTCTCAATTTTCTATATACAATATACTGTATATATATTCTCCACTCTCATCCAATCCTACACTCCTTTTCAGGCAGCATTTCATAATTATTACATCAAACAGTAACAACAAACTTGATTTCTCCCAGCTGAGCGCTAGTCACACACACTCTAGTACATCACACAATTGACCATGCGTTGACAATCAGAGTTAGCATCGCATTCAATCATGCAGTGGACATTTCGGTTGAGCTTGGTACTGCCCTCATCCGACATCCACAAACCTGTATCTTCCAGCGAATACATATCAGGAGCAGGAACCCTGGCTGATTTCTCCCTCACTTGCTCAGAGTGCTGAGCCTAATTGCATCCGCCATACCTTGGCCACAGCTGAGATCGGTTAATCCAACACAAAACCTGTAGCCTGTGGCTTAGATTTTCATTGGATCACTGAGCCATTGCTAAAGGATGCTAGGAGACGAAATCCACCAGTCAGTATAGGTGCAGAGCTTGGTGATGTGCGTTTATAGCAGGGAAATGCCATTACAAATTTATACCACTGAGTTTGGTAACTAACCTTGTCGACAGAATTTCATCTCTTAATATTATTGGAGCATAGGCCACACCCTCAGCTCTTTAATAATGAAAAACTGGTATCAGATGGTTGAGCAAAGGAGCAGAACTCTGCTTTCTTGTAATTCAGCCATGGGTGAGAGCAATTCAGAGTGAGAAGTGGAATTCCTGATTTGTTGGAGGCTGTGCCACTAGCAATGATGGTACACTGCTTCCTTTAAACAAGTTAGGATTCAGTTTGTACTTTTGGCAAAACTTTGCCAGTAAACAAATCACAACTGGCTCACAGAGATGGGGTCAGGTGTGTTCCACTTCAGGTACAAAATGTGCAGCTAACTCCCCATCCAAAAATTACTAGTTGGAAAGTTACCGTAACTAATATTTTGTTATGTTTGCTGCCCAGGGAAGGTGATTACTTTTACCAAACGTGTGGAGAGATTTATTTCCACAATACGTGTTGGTTCTAATGCCAACATTAATAAATGTTTGCCTGTAGTTTTGCCAATGGTGTCAATATTTACTAGAATTCTTCCTGTGTACTTTAGTACCACTGTGATATTTTTGTCAGAACACCAGAATACAGAACACTGGGAGTTAAACACGCTGCTAACACCTACCTCCCCCCCACCCTCCACTAACACTGTGCGCTGTGAAAACATAAGGAAAACAAGCAAATCATACAAAGATAATTGGACCCATCTCCTTACCCTGTTGGGTTGAACAGGATTTGGTTTACTCTTTTTTAGTGAGACTGTTGTTTGTGTGTATATATATTAGCTGTACCCATTGCAGCTTCGCTTGCAACCAAAAGATCCAATATGGAATGTAGATTGATACACAGACAGACATTTCATCTTTATCTATACTCATCTGGGAGGACTCCTGTGGGAGGACTCATTTTGGCCGTGCTGTTCTTTGAGTGGGCAACTCATTTTGCCGCGCTGTTGCAGTCCTTTCAGCATTGAAGTGTAGCCGCGCTGTTCTTTTTCCTTCAGTTTTATGTAATGGGCATTTTTGTCTAGCATTTTTACTTATCTTTGAAAGACTTGATTTCTGTTTAGGCAGCTTTATAATGATGTATAATTTATAATCACTGGGACGTCCTCCCGACGTGAAAGACTCTTTAAAAATGTAATTTTGTTGTTGTTGCCGCGGCTTAGCTTCGTCTGTGCTTGTTAGTTTGTTTCCGCTGCTTGGCTCTGTACGTGCTCCGTGCCGCAGGATGCCACAGCGCCACTTTGACCCGGTGGCTACCAGGTGTAACTGCAGTGAAAAACACAAAACTGAAATACATTTTGGATCATAACTCACAAACGATAAGAGATACCTGAAAACAAATATGCCCATGTCACTGGCAGATGCAAGACCTTTCTGGTGAGGTATAAATCATGTCTCAATATCAATCGGTTATTGAGATCCTTCTTGAAGTGCAGATAGACATCATCGTTTTATTAGTATAAATATATATAATAGTCCTTGCATTTGATATAGTGCCTTATCACATCTTCGAGACGTCTCAAAGCCCTGCACAGAATATACTCTAGAGTGAATTAACTGTATATTTTGTGTACGAAATGTATAGCAATGCCATCTTCGAGATATCAGCAGACCTGTTGAGCAGCAGTAGCAGCACTTTGATGGTAAAATATAGATAGCCGCTCTATGTTCAGCATATTGCATAATGTTCTGCATTCAATATAGCAGCACAGAACAGGTCCTAGAGGCAGAGCCAATGAGTGCGACGGGGCTGATCCTCAGCGTTAGAGGATCAAGCAGTAAGGAATAACTAGATAAGCTGGAGCTCTTCAGCCTTGAATAGAGACCTCTCAAAGGAGATCTTATAGAGGTAGATAAAACAGCTAATGGAGAAGTAGGTAAACTGGAATGATAGCTTCAAAAATGCCCAGGAAACAAGACATGAGGTTGCAGGTTGAGGGATTGTGAAGGGAAATTTTAGGATAAAGAAACTTTACGCAGAGGATAATATCCAAATCAGACTAACAGTTTCACAGAGTAGGAACGAGTCACAAGGGAGAGCGTGTGGCCAGAACATGGGATTAATATAAGACATAGTTTAATGCTGTAATGGGAAATGTTAGTAATTGGGAACGATGAATTCAAATCAAGTTGCCTTTTCATCTCAGCCTAATGTATTATGAATTCTTGCAGGAACATTAATGACAAGGTTGAAAAACACCATTTTATTTATACTCCCCCAAATGACATTGCACAATCATGGCACTGATAGTGTTTGGTGGCCACACTCAAGACTTGTCTGAAATCTGATTAAAGTAGCAATAGGTGGGTTTCACAATGACTGTGTACCCTTACTCTTTTGCAGATAAGATTGCAGTGTCCCTTAGTTAGTTATCGCTCTGCTATATTTATGCACCGACCAGCTAGAAGGTGAAGGTGACCTACATGTTAAATTAGGATCATTTCCCAATGGCTGCGAAGATGTTAAGGTTTTCACAGTGATCAGTCAGAAGAGCATGTGGTTTGGGTGTTGTTGCTGGTAATGTCCACTCACTTGTACCAATCACAGCAGAACCCTGAGGCAAAGAGTGAAGTTCAGTGGTGCAAAGTGGCACATCACTCAGATATCACCTGGAATCAGTGTCTGCTACAAAAATGTCAATATCTTCCCAGTGGCAAGGGAGGGTTTTAACAGGTGGTGGTTGTTGT